GGCTGGAGAAGGGCTGGCGCTGGTCTTCTGCTGGCTCCTGACTCAGAGGGGACAGCAGGACACCACGGGCCCTGTCCCAGTGTGACAAAACATGCATGACATCCTTCTGCGATGCCTCGTAGATCTTAAACCTCAGGGCCAAGTTCTTCTCGCTCTCACTCTGGGCCTCATCTTTGGTTTCCTCCTGTTCTGGATCTGGGGGTTGCATGACCTCTGCTGGGCAGGTGTCCATCAGGGGAACCTTGTTCTGCTTTTTCTTCTCTTCTTTGTCACCCAAAACAGGGTCCGGGTGCTCCTTTACAGGTCCCTTCTTGTCCACCCCCTTGGTGACATCTGACAGGAGGGACATGCTGGTGTTCTGGCCAGAAGGAGCAGGAAAAAACAGTGAGAGTTTCAAAGCATTGCTTAAATGCTGTTGGACAGTGATGGTCTTCACAATAGCCCCTCAAGCCTCACCTAAGATCTGTGCTTGGTGCTCTACAACCCCAGTTCAGGACGCAGCTGGTACCTAGTGAGGCTCAACTGAACTCAAACTCCCCAGTGCCAGGCAGGTGAGGAGTCCTGGAAACCATCTGAGAAACCAAGCAGCTTTGCCATCCCAAACAGAACTTCAGACACCTCCTTACTTGTTTCTGGTGTGCTGAGCATCCCTGACAATTTGGGAAGTCAGACTGCTGATGAACAGCTAAGGCTGGTGGTATCTCCTGCCAAACATGTAGGAGAAGACACCACATCCCAGATGGATCATGGCTCAGAGGCATAAGCCACATGCAGAGCAGGGAGAAATGCTGGACTAAAACCATCCAGAGATTCACAGTGAATGTGTGGAGCTCTGTGACGCCACGACTCAAGGGCAGCATGACCCTAGGAGAGCAGCTCTGCTGAGGAACCCATGGAAACCCCCCTGGTGAAACAGCAGCACGAGGAAACATGGGCTATGGGTCCCCGGCACAGCTCCATGTGTTGTCCACAGCCAGGTGGCCCAGCAGGGCCCATGGCTGATGGCTTCCTGGAGAATGGTGTGGAAGTTCCCCAGAGCCTCTACTCATCTTTACAAACACAACCACTCACCTGCCGGACTAGAAGCTGGCTTTTCTTCCCCAAAACATTATCTTTGTCTTTTCCAAGCTCTCTCTTCCCCCTCCTAGACTTCTTCTTCATCTCTTCCTCCTTCAAGCGTTCTAGCTCCCGCTGGTGTTTTTCCTCAAGCTCTCGAGCCAGCTGTTCCATCTCCCTTCAGCAAGTCAAACAGAAAGCATCTCTGAGAGTCACCAGCAGAAATCTGTGCTCGCTGCAATCCCAGCTGGTCCTGCACTTCAGGCATTGACCCTGAGATCAGGCAGAACCATTAGAACAGCTCCATGGATGTCCCTCAACCCAGGCAGGCTGGGAACATCTAAAGGGAGAGAAGGGCCAGCCAACCTAAGCCTGGAAACCTTATGGTCTCAATTGTGCAACTTCTGGTAGGGGGGTTTGAACTAGATGATCTTTAAAGTCCCTTTCAACCCACACCATTCTGTGATTCTCTCTGATTGTCCCTGGGCACAGCCCTCTCCTTCCCAAGGATGATGATATCCATCAAAAAGCAAAGGCTGAAGTAACTTCGCTCCTGCAAAACAGCCTCTGAACCACCAGATTTCCTGCTGGAACCCATCTGTGACCACGGGAAACTTGTGCTGCCTGTCCTGGGAATGATGCCTTGAAGCAGCCCTAGTGACTTCCTCCCATGGAAACAAACTTCAGCCTGGGCTGAAGGAAGGGCTGGAACACACATGAAACCTCTTCCAGTTTCACACTTATCTTGAGCATCCTCCTGAGCCAGGCTGCTTGGCTGGATCAGAGTTTCTCCAGGCTCACCTGCTCCTGCAGCTGAAGGTGAGCATAACATCTCACCAGCTTTCATGGCTGGTGTCACTCAGTAAGGAAAACCCTGGGAGGTCAGCACTGCAAAGGCTTCACCTGCAGCAGGACTAGTATCTACACCAACCCACATAACCCTTCTGGTTTGGGGAGGAAGGAGGGTGAAGAAGATAATTAACTTAGAGACACTTAGAAGTGCAGCAGCAAGGCAAGCACCGAGCCCAGCCAACATCTAAGCCCGAGAGGGCTCAACACTGCGATGGAGAAAAGATGTTCTCACCTCGCCAGAGGAAGTCCTTCTTCTGCTGGGAACCAGGGAGGTGGCACTGACCGTCTGTTGTGGTTTGAGGCTCAGGGGTGGGACAGGTGATCTCTAGGACTCAGGAGGGTCCATGGGGGAGTGATTTATTCCCTCCCCCTTCCTCTGCCACCTCTTTAAAAGAGGCAGAAAGTGGGGGCTTCGCACTCTCTTGCCCTTGGTGTGTGCAGAGATCAGCCTGCCTGATTGCAAGCGGTCCTGAGCAATCCTACTGCCATCCGAGATTTGGGTTTTGTATATCTTGTTTACTTTGTATTCCCCCCATCTTTGTACATGTATCTCCCTCCCTTTTTGCTTTCTGTTCCCTGTTAAACAATATACTTTATTTCATTTAGCTTCCAATCGGTGCAAAGCCTCTCTTTGGGGGGAGCACACAAAATTCTGTTCCGTGGGGGCCTGCCCTGAGCTCTGATACAGAACCAGAACACCATCCTTGAGCTGCTTTTAAATAGACACTTTGGGCTTTTGCTTTGTAACCTCTCTGAGCCCAACCAAGGTCCCCAGAGCAGGACATCCCTCTGAGGACACTATGCAGGGGAGTCACCCGTGGAAGGCTTACAGACCTCCTCTTCCTCTCACGCTGGACTTGTCGGATAGCGTCATTAAGCTGAGTTTTCTGCTCCTCAGGGAGGGCATCAAACTCATCCTCATCCATCTCCCGGAGACGTGTGATCTCCTTCCTGGCAGCTTCTTCCTGCTCCCATTCTTCAGCACAGACCAGAGAAGAAACCATTAAGCAGAACTTATTGTTCTGGGTGAGCTGTGACGGTTCACAACCCTGTCCTGACACAGCCTATCATCCTGCCAGGAGATACTGAAGACCTTATATCCCTGCTCCAAAACTCATCTAACATCCCCAAACCACAGCTGGTCAGCAAGTTCCTGAACCTGGCCTGGCTCATTCACACCAGCGTTGTGGACAGCTGGCCAGTGGTTAATTATGGAGCCACAACAACTTGCACTTGTGTCCAAGGTTTAACATTGGAGACTAAGGTGAGTCTCGCAACACCAGCTTTGCTTTATTTCAACCAACTGTGAGCTGAGTACTGGCTACACTGAGGCAAAAGGTGGAAGGATTAATAAAAACATTGATATGATTCTATGATTCTATGATTTCTCACAAGGGATGCTGGTAACACAGGGGTAAGGTTGAGGACTTGAGAGCAATGGAGATAAAAGGTCTCACCTTCCTGTTCTTTAGCAGCTGCCTCCTTGGCCTTCAAAGAAGCATAATCCTGGATCAGGTTCACAAAATAGATGTGAGGCCGATTCCTGACAGCTTTGAGCAGGCAGAGGAGAGCAGAGGCTGCGTTGCGTGCAAAGAGGGTCTCCAGGCCATCAAACACCACTCCCTTGTAGCAGTCACTCAGCTGTGAATGAAGTCAAAAAGAAAGTCAACAGTCACACACACGGGGCTCTCAGCTGGTCAGCGAATCCAAAATATCCCAGGACGACAGCCATGGTTGTTCCAAGCCAAGCTCTGATCTTTCCCCCAGGCTCTGCCAGATCCTCCACCTGAGGGTACCCCCGTGTGACCCAGGACTCCTCCAGCAGCAGACTCAGAACCTCCTCCTCCCTGAAGGGTACCTCGCTGCCCATCTCTGTGTGCCCCCCCATCCCAGGTACCTGCAGCCTTTCCAAGAGGATGGCCACCAGGAGGTCCTCGGGCAGCAGGCAGCTCCTGAAGCCCAGCTCGGCCGCCGTGCTGCTGCTGCTCAGCCAGTGCCGCGCGGGCACGCCGGGGGAGATGAGGTGGGAACTGGATGAGCCCTGCAAGGTTCAACACCACGAGAGACATTGAGCACTCTGGGAGGCATTTCGGAACGTGATGGTGCCCCTGGACTCAGCTCTGGGGAGGCCAAAGTTTGAGGGCTGGGGTCAGGCTTGGGCACCACAGGAGAAGAAAGACCTTGAGGGGCTGAAAGGGTCTAGAGAAGGGCTACAAAGCTGGGGAGGGGGCTGGGGGATGTGGCTCAAGTGGCTGAGGGAGCTGGGGTTGTTTAGTCTGGAGAAGAGGAGGCTGAGGAACCTTCTGGCTCTCCACAGCTCACTGAAAGGAAGTTGGAGTGAGGTGGGGGTTAGTCTGTTCTCCCAAGTAACCAGAGATAGGACAAGAGGCAATGGGCTGAAGTTGCACCAGGGAATGTTTTGACTGGATATGAGGAAGAATTTCTTTCCTGGCGGACTGGTGAGGCCTTGGGCCAGGCTGCCCAGGGAGGTGCTGGAGTCCCCATCCCTGGAGGGGTTCAAAAAACTTTTGGACATGGCACTTAGGGACATGGTTTAGTGGCCATGGTAGTGTTGGGTTGATGATTGGACATGATGATCTTAGAGGTCTTTTCCAACCAGAGTGATTCTAGGAACAATTCCACCTGCTGGGCTTGGAGCTGGCTTTTCTCTTTTTAGTGGGAGACTAGAAGAAAACTACAGGCCAGCAGCACCAGGGGACAGGACAACTCTGGAGGGCACACCCCTTGGTCATCAGAGAGCCAAGCTTGCAAGACCCTGATGCAGCATCCCACAGCTCTCCCACCACCCACAGCCACATCAGTCAGGACTCCACTTCACCAACAAACCATTAAGACCTAGTGGAGCTTGTTTTGCCAGAGTAGAATATCTTGTTGCCACCTGAAATGACATCTAGGTGGCTTCCTGCGCTCTCTACCCCTGCAGCAGGCTCACCTGGGAGCCAGTGGGATCCATCAGCTGCTGTTTCTGGGACAGGGATGCATGGCCATCCACCTTCTTCTTGCTGGCCATGGTGTTCACCCGGCCACGGGAGCCACCAGACTGGAGGCTGACCTTCTCCCCAGAGCTGGACTGGCTCAGGTCCAAGCTGCGCTTGGCCTCGGCGCCGAGCTGCTGGCTGAGAGAGGCACCTGAACTTGGACCTGTGGAGGGAACAGGTGGCTCAGAGGGGCTGGTGATGGGTGCTGCAGGAGCGAGGAGACACCTGCCACCTTGGTAGGTCCACAGCCCTCATCCCCAGCCTGCCCACCCCAGCAGCACTGCTCTCCAGAAGTGTCTCCTTCCTGGCTTCTCCTATTAGCAGGACAAAACTTCCCATCCCATACGGGATTTGAGAGCCAGAGGTTTTAATGCACAGCCCTGAGGCCCTCTTAAGAGGGCTGGGTGCTGCCCTTGGGTCACAACAACTTTCTGCAATGCTCCAGGCTGGGAGAAACGTGGCTGGGAAGTGCCTTGTGGAAAATGACCTGGGGGGGGTGGTCAACAGCCAGCTGAAGGTGTGAGAGTGTGTGCCCAGGTGGCCCAGAAGGCCACCAGCATCCTGGCTTGGATCAGCACTAGTGTGGCCAGCAGGAGCAGGGCAGGGATTGTCCCCCTGGACTGGGCACTGGGGAGGCTGCCCCTTGAATCTTTGGGTCAGTTTTGGGCACCTCACTTGAAGAAGGACCTTGAGGGGTTGGAGCGTGGCCAGAGAAGGGCAACAAAGCTGCTGGGGAAGGGTCTAGAGCCCAAGTGTGGTGAGGAGCAGCTGAGGGAGCTGGGGGTGCTGAGCCTGGAGCCAAGGAGGCTCAGGGGAGACCTTCTGGCTCTCCACAACTCCTGACAGGAGGCTGGAGCCAGGTGAGGGTCAGACTTGTCTCCCCAGAACAAGTGACAGGGCAAGAGGAAATGGCCTCAAGTTGCCCCAGGGGAGGTTTAGGTTGGCCATGAGGACAAATGTCTTCTGCAAAGGAGTTGTCCAGGTCTGTGCCAGGCTGCCCAGGACAGTGGTGGAGTTCCCATCCCTGGAGGGGTTTCTGAGGACATGGCTTAGCAGTGACCTGGCAATGGTGCGTTACTGGTTAGACTTAATAATCCTAAAGGTCTCTTCCAACCAAAACAATTCTGTGGTTCTATGGATGAATCCAAGAATTTGTCCTCCAGGACCATTGTTTCCATACCTTGCTCCCATCCTGCATTCTCACATGGAGACTGGAACACACAGCCCTACCTCAACTGCATCACCTATCTTCACTGGAGCTAATCCTCCCCATGGGATAATCCCACTCAGGACCCAGACCCTTCTTCCTCCCACCAGCTCCAACCCAAACAGGTTCAAAGCCAAGCACTGCAGAACTTCCCCCACCAGAGTCAAGGTCTGCTCTCACCCTGCACAGTTCATGGCACCATCCACCCAATAAAGTCCCGCTGTTGTCTCTGATGGAGAACTCTGATGTTCTCACGTGGAGAACAGCCCAACGTGCAAGAGCTGCACGACCTGACATCACACGGAGGACAATCTCTGGAGAAAAGAGTACCTTCCTCTGCAGTATGTCTCTCATCTGAAACTCCTCTGGGACGTGGTTCTTCCCTTCCTGTCTTGTTTGGGAAGCCACAAACTCACGTTGCCTAGTGCTTTATGAGCCAATTCAGAGGGTTTTTTCCTTGTTCAAGTGGGCAGCAGTTCTGCCAGGTGGCCACGAGAAGCCAGCTGGATTCAGCTTTGAGGATATATAAAGAACCCTGAGAAAGGTACAGGTGGGCTTCACCACTCCTAGGATGAGGGACACATGTCAAAGAAGCCCAGGGGCAGCAGAAGTGCCTCTGCCTGAACCCTTAAAATAAAGATTTATTTTAAGAACCAGAGATGCTTTACGAAATGACTTCATGTTTCTTCATCCTGCACCCATCTTCTCCAAGAGACCCACAGTCTCTCAGACCTTCTCTGTAAGAAGCAGATGGACACACTGGGTCTCCATGGTGGCTCCGGTGTTCCTCCTCACCTGGCTCCTCGGTCTCCTGGCGGGTCTGCTCGATGGCAGCTCTCCTGCACAGCTCCCGGGCACGGAGCCCCGCAGGGCTGCTCCTGTCCCCGATGGCTTCGGCCACCATGGTGTCCATGGCCAAGCAGGCAGCCCCGTAGTATTTGGACAGGGCGACCGCTGCCGACGTCTTGCCTTCAGAGAGGGGAAGACAGCTTGGTGACACTTGCCTGAGAGGCATTTTTAGGGATAGGCTCTGAAAGGTCCCCAGACAGGATTTTGAAGTCTCCAGGATAATTGGAAAGCAAGTGCCCCCTTGGGAAAAACCACCAGGGAGGCAGCTTGGACATGGGTAGAAGCACTGTCCTCTAGAGCCAGGTGGATCATCTCCACCTCGTGTTCAGCTAAGGACCATGTCCTCTGTGGCGATCTCAGTCCTGGGCCCAGGATGCTGTTTCAGGCCCTGTCCCACGACCCCCCAGACCATTCACTAGCCTGTGCTGGTTGCTGTTGTCTCAGGCAATAACTAGGCATGGTTTGGGGGTTAGCATGAGCTAGGGACTGCTCCCATAAGGCAACCTGGACACTAGGCAACGGGTTCCCACAAAGCAATGGGGACACAGCCACCCTGTTTGAGGGAATGAGAGCCAAGCTGTGTGGACACAAGACAAGCTCCACCACTGGCACCAGACAGGTGAAGCCCTGGAACCTTTCCATGCACCAGCAGACCTCTGGGCTTACCGCGCTCCACTTCAACTGGCCAACCAAACCAACTGTGGTTCACCACGAAACATCTCTCCGGCTTCCCTCCCTCGCGAGCAAGGGCTGGGGCTCACGTACCTGCCAGGGGTGCCCCATGGATGATGACAACCACCCCTCGGCGGTGCTGGGCAGCGTGTCCTTCTGCAGAGGTGTCGATGCCGAGGTGACGGGCAATGGCCCGACAGACAGGGCTGTCTCCCACCTCTCCCGGGGCCTCCTTGCTGCTGGTGCTGCTCTGCCGATGCTCTGCTGTGCAGAATGGGGTGGAACAGTCAGCCTCCTGCCTCCCTGTCACCCTCCTCATCCTCCCCCAACCCAACAGGTCCTGGAAGAGGAGACCGCCAAAACCAACGTCACGCCTGGGGTTCCACCATGCCCTTCCTTCAAGACTTGTGCAGCTCAGGGCCTGCCTTAGATGCTGGTGAAGCTGCCTCTTCATAGGATAGTGAACAGGGTTGCAGAAAGAGGCAGGAACAAGCACCTGGCAAGACCTAAAAGGACTGAGCCAAGTCTCCTTCCATGAACTGTCAACATGGTCCTTGAGGGAGTTTGGTCCCGGGTCCTGCTGAGTAAGGGCAGGACAGGCAGAACTGGGCATATTACACAGCCCCAAGGTAGAGGATCCATCTGGGGATCAAGTGATTATCCAAAATATGGATGCTTGAGGAATATTACAGCAGGAGATGTGGCTGGGCTCTGAATTCACAGTGTTTGCAAAGAGCTCCCAGCGCTGCTCTTAGGAGGTCACCCATAGCCATCTCATCTTGCTCTGTCACACAGGACACATTTCCCTGCCTAGGAAAGGGATCACCACCCTCTGATCCCAACAGCTCCTGAGGGCAAACATGCTCATTTGGCAAAGCTGGGGAAAACCTCCCTGGCCTCTCATTGTCCCTATCCCAGCCTCTTCTCAGGATCCTACAGACTTCATACAGAAGAGCAGATGGAGAGCCTACAGCAGCAAAGATGGCACCAGGCTACAGTGAAGTGACAGAGGTGACCCTGAAGTCCTCCACTGAGGCCCTTTGTCCACGATGGACACAAAACAGGTGAAGAGCTGAGGGTTATTACCTCGCCCATGTCTTCTCTCAACACTTTCCTCCTCTTCTCCATGTTCAGATTTCGAGTCCACCTTGCTGGACTGGCTTTCATCAACAATGGAGGTGGGAACAACTGAGCTATGGGATGAGATGGTGTGCACCACCCCAGCAGAGTGCTTTCCTCCTTGGTCTGACAGAGACTGGGCATCTTCGATGTTTGCTGAGGAGGAAGGACACGGAGGAAAGAAGGTGGTCAATGTTGCCAAGCAACCTGGCTCTTTGCCGTTCACCACTTTGCGTGGCCGCATACAAAAACCTGAAAATTCCCCAAGGAATTGTCCAGGGTGTCTCTGCCCCTGGGGGGATTTTGAGCTTGTGTTTCTGTTGCTGGGATGAAGTAAACACAGTAGAGCTGGTGACAGTAGACCTGGTCCTACTGGATGAAGAATTCATCCAGTCCTACTCTTTGTGGTTGAGGGACACAAGGGGACATCCTGATTCATCCCCCAGTCCGTGGCACGGCAGATAGGAGCCTGCTTGGGCTGCACTCAGGGCTAGTAGAGGGCGTGTGTTATGAGCCACAGACTTTCACCCTGGAATCTCTCCATGGAGCTGGGGACTGGCTGGCTGCTAAACCCACGGGCTTTCTGTGGAAAATGAGGTCATGGAGAGCTCAGTGTAGGTGGGCTGGACTCCCTGCTGTGCCCAACCCTCACCGTTGTCCTGGCCTGCTGGTTCCCCAGCCGTGGACTTCGCCTGCTCGTCCTGCAGCCTCTTCTGGTCCTGATAGAACTCCAGCACCTCTGGAGGCAGCTTCTCACCCGGGGAGCGTGGAGGCAGCAACAAGGTGTTGTGGCAATCATAGTCCTTCAGCATCCGGAGGATCTGTGCAGATGGGGGAGAGAAACCACATCTGGGATGAACTTCTTGATCTTCACCACATGAATGGAATCCTCAACCAACCCATCTTCTCCTCATTCCTTCCTCCCAACCAGACAGACTACCCAAGCTCCTCCACAGTCCACCAGAAGAGTTGGCTAACCCTGAAATGCCACCAGGCTCTGCCCTGGGCCCTGCCTCCATCTCCCTGGAGAAGCTGTGAAGCCACAGGAGCATGGACACGGGACCAGATTCTCCCTCTCACCTGCTCCTCAGCGAGGTACTGCTCATCGAACTCCAGCGAGTAAAACTCAATGGGAAACGTGCAGGGGTTCTTCACCACCACCGTGCCCTCCACGCCCCAGCTGCATGGCAGCACTGGTCCCAGCTCCAGCACTGGGGGGCTGAACTCCAGCTGTGGCTCCAGCCCATGTCCCAGGACCTGCAGCTGAAGGTGCTGGCTGCTCTGGCAGATGTTAACCTTCAGCTCGCTTCTGTAGGACTTCTGCAAAAGAGAGAAGCTCAAAAAGCTCCCTCATGAAGCCCCAGTTGACAGGAACTCAGTCAACCCTTCTCCAAGCTCAGGGGTGCTACCAGCACCTCTAAGGTGGATGGAAAACAGATATTTATTCAGAGCAGGAGCTATGGCATCCTCACGATGGCTCTGGCAACCAGGATGAGTCCTGGTGTGCAGTGCAACCTAAAATGGACCATGAGATGTTTTCACCTAGTGATGAGGGAGCATGATGAGAAGGTCCTCAGAGTTGTGCTGCCCAGGCATGGCCCTGGCACTGCTGCATCAGGCTAACATCAGCTACATGGAGGAACAGATGAGCTCTCACTGGCTAGAACTATGGGTCATCTTATGGAACTACAGAATCGTTTGGGTCAGAAGGGACCTTAAAAATCATCTAGTTCCAACCCTCCTGCCATGGGCAGGGACACTTCCCACTAGACTAGTTGCTCAAAGCCCCATCCAGCCTGGGCTCACACATTTCCTGTGTTAGGGCATCTGTAACCTCCCAGGGCAACCTGGGCCAGTGTCTCACCACCCTCACCATGAAAAACTTCTTCCTAATTTCTAAGCTAAATCTCCCCTCTCCCAGTTGGAACCCATCTCATCCTATCACTACAAGCCCTTGTAAAAAGCCCCTCTCCAGCTTTCTTGTAGGCCCCCTTCAGACACTGAAAGGCCACAATGAGGTCTCCTTGGAGCCTTCTCTTCTCCAGGCTGAACAACCCCAGCTCTCCCAGCCTGGCCTCACAGATGAGGAGCTCCAAGATCTTCACTGCTCAGTGTCTGGCTCTGGTCAAAGCCAAACACAAGATGGTTACAATTCTACAAGCTATTGAAACACCCCTGAGACCCAGCCCAGAAGACACATGTGGAAACCTGTGTCCACACTGCTACATGCTGCCCATTTCCAAGGCATGGTGGCCACAGGCCTCCATGGTTCATGATGACCTGCCTGGGGATGTGCAGACAGTTGGGTGAGAGCCACAGGGGCTGCTAGCAGCACAGCACATCAGGTGATGGTCCTGTCCTGCCCAGGAAGAGGTCTGCTGGCTGTTCTGTCTGCTGGTACCACCAGCAGGATTAGCCCAGATAGGCCCTTCCAGGGTTATCTCCAGCACTAGCTGGAGCCTGCAAAGACCCCACGCGAGAAGGAAAATGAGGGGAAGCAGGCAGATCTCCCCCCATGATGCCCCACTGGTCTCCACACAAGCTCCCTGTGGGTTTCCAAAGTCCCTCTCAAGAGAGTGAGCTGCAGGAGAAACCGAGGCATGGTGGGTACAGGGCTTGCAGAAAGCTTCACATGCTTTTTTTTTTTCCCAGCTGCCCTCCCTCCTGCATCCTGCCCTGCCTCCTGGAGGTGGCATCTTCCCTGGTTTAGTGCTCATGGCAGCATTTAGTTGACAGTTGGACTTGATGGTCTTAGAGGTCTTTTCCAACCTTAATTATTCTATGCCTCCTCTTTCTCACCTCTTCCATGGGTGAAAACCTGACTCGCACATTGCATCGTTCTCCTGGGGCCAGGGCTCCAGCTGAGGGCACTGCCTCAAAGACACAGAGCTTGGTCTTCAACTCCTGAAGCAGCTTCTGACGCACGTTGGCTGGCAAGTGCTTGTCCACCTGAGCACAAAAAATGGTTGTGTGAGGTCTCCTTGGTCTCTGAAGATGAACTCTTGGTTCCTCCAGTGCTCTGAGATACTGCCACGGTGCTGAGAGCACTCACATCCAAACCAGCTGTGGCCACCACTGGCCTAGAACTGTGGGGAAAATGTGTAGGCAGACAGAGGGAGAGGCATTGTCCTCAAGAGGAGGAGGAATGGGTGAAGGTGCCAGAGAAGTGAAGCATCAGCTAATGAACAGGTCCAGGTGAACCAGCTTTGCTCTGTACCCTCTGAAGCTTCCTCAAACAAGCTGTAGCCCAAGTCCTCAGGCAGCCACAGGGGCAAGAAAAAGCAGGAGAAGGCAAAGAAAACCCAACCCAGAAGTCACACGTGGCACATTGTCCATGCTTTACCTTCTTGACAGGTTCATTCCTGGTGATGAACCATTTACAGGGGACCTGGAGATGATTGTGGAGCTGGACGGTTTCTTCCTGGCACTGCCCACACCGGACAGTGGAGAACTCCAGTCTGTCCCTGGAGAGGCAGAGGGATGGCACAGTCACGTTGGCACGGAGGCGGATGTGAAACGTGGGGCCTCCTGCTACCTAGTGAAGGACAGAGCACCTCCCTGAGAGCCCAGGTGACATCTGCTGCTGTCCCCCACCTGCCCCGAAAGGAGGTGTGGACACAGGGAGGCAAGGAAGCACAGGGTACCTTGATGGGCAGGAGCACGTCCACCCCTCCCAGCGGCAGGTGGGCACCTTGGGGGTCAAAGCGGACTTCAAAGGTCTCGGTCTCACAGTAGGGCAGGTGCTTCACACGGTCCAGCTCCACGCTGAAACCTTCCACGGATGGAAACAAAGCAGCTGAGACACACAACTGACACAAGTGTGTCAAAAGGCCATAGGGGGGTCCCTGCTGGCAGGTCTCTGAAAGACTCCTTGGCACCTGGGGAGAAGCCTGCTGCTGCTTCTCCCTTATTACTGCCCAAGGAGAAAGGCTTCAAGCCCACATGGGGAAACAGAAACCTATCAGCTGAGGAGCTTCAGCAATTCCTTCCTCAGGCATCCCAGGGAAGGATGCATGGACCTTTCTGAAGGAGAATTTCCAGCTAATATCCCCCCATGCCGTGGTGCTCTCTGGGAAACAACTCTGAGGAGACATCTGACCACCCTTCAGACACAGTGAGGCACTACTGGTTGGTGCTGCTGCCTTACCTCAAGGCCTGTTTTGATTCAACAGAGGACCTCAGGGGCTGTTTTCTCAACAAAGGCTTAGCAGAAGTGTTATAACATTATGAAGTCCAGAGAAAGCACTCCCAAGCCATGATGGGTCCATTTGTTGGCAACAAGCCCACAGAGTGCACAAAGAAACTCAAGATGATGCTCTTGGTAGCCAAGAGGAGAAGATGCCAAGAGGTGACTGAGGTGTTCATCCCATCTAACCCCTGCAGTGAAGTGCTGGGGTAGCCACAGTCAGGCCAGGTCTCTGGGCCCTGTTGGCCAGGAGAGCTCAGGCTCTGAAGCACCATGGAGAAGGTCTCAAGGAAGAAACAGCTACACAAGCAAGGACTCAAAATTAACTTCCCATGCCTTAAACTAATCTGTCTGAGATAGCTCCTTGAAGCCCACGTGAAGCCTCTCCTGCACTAGTCACCTGTGTCACGTAGGACCCGTCCATCGGCGTGGAAGGACACGGGGAACTGCCCGGTGTTGGTGATCTTCACAATGTGTGTCTGGATGCTACCAAGAATGACGTAGCCAAGGTCCAGGATGTACTCTGGCAGCTGAGCTCTGAAAAGGGGAAGAAGGAGAATCCTTCAACCACAGCTTGGCTACGTATCCAAGTGGATGGAAGGTGCAAATAAAGCGAGTATTTCTCTATTTACTGCTATAAAAACTAAAGCCCATTAAACCCACGGCTTGACCAACTGTGTTTCTCTGGTTGACCATCTTTGTAAGTCACAGGGAGTGTAGGTATGAGATTTTAGCAGCTACCAACGAGACCTGAAATCGAGTTTAAAATGGATACTGGTCACAGCTCCTCTGCTACAAAAAGCCATTGTAGATAAGTCCACTGGACCTCCCCTGGTCTCAGTGGAACTGCTAAGCCTGGTGTAGAACCCAAGCCTGAAACTGCTTCAGGACCTTGTAAGAAGATTTGCCTGCTCCAGAATCTTCACTGCTCCACAACCAGATCTGTCCCCAGAGCAACACTGCTAACTACACCAAACAACACCTCCAAGGATCATGAGAAGGTCCTTTTCCAGAGCAGTCCCATTTGGGAAAGCACATAAATAAATGGTCTGCTTTGCAGAGCACCTTCTTCCTGAACCAGAGTGTACTGTGTTCAAACCTCCTCATGAAGGAGCAGAGGGAAGGACCAGGCCAGCTAGGTAAGCCCTGTAGTCCCACCAGCATGCAAGCCACCCAATTTGTTAACCTGTTCTTCTTGCTCTGTGATCTTCTTGTGATCTGCTAGTGGGAACAAAGACACCAGCTTTGAGTTGCCTCTTTCAGGGCTGGTCAGCAGGGATGGGGTCTGTGCTACCTGTAAGGGCCTGATGGTCTGCACTGGACCACCTTCAGCTCTAAGAACAGAGCCCAGCACCCATGGGGAGCTGAGCAGCTCCAAAGCTCAGGGTGGCACGGTGGACATGAGGACACTCAGCTGCTTGCAGGGAGCATGTCAGAGCCATCAGGATCAGACCCTTTCTGAAGTCCCCAGCTACTCCTGGTTCTGCAGACATGAGGAGATCCTAGAAGCAGAGGTGCACTGCTGGGTGTCACCCTTGGGGCACCTGGAGATAATGTATGGAGTCCCTACTAACTTGAGAAGCCTCCGACGAGCACGCTGGTCAAAGCTAGTGTCCTCTCGGGGACTGAAGGCGAGAGCTTTCTGCTGCTCCAGGGCGTGTTCTTCCATCAGCATCTCCTCCAGCCTCATCTGCAGCTGAGTGTCCAACTGAGGAAAGGAAAGACAGCAACTGGTTAGCAGAGGTCCTTCCCAAGGCACAGGCCTGCTTCTGAAAGAGGAGCCCACCCTGCTCTTGTTGAGAGGGGTGATAAGGTCCTGACTGAGAGGACAGAAGGACCCCATCTCAAGGAAAACGAGCTCCACACCTTCACCTGCTCATTTTCATTGTCACCAAAAGCTGATCTGGCCAGACAGACAAGCCAGGAACCTTTCAGAGCTCCAAGTATTTGCCGGCCTGCAGCCGGTGTCCAATTAGCTTGGACAAAACCTCTCTTGGAAAGGAAACCATGACAAAGCTGGTGCCTCTTGGAGATGAACGCTAACAGGACAATCCCAGGGCACAGTCAGGCTGCTGCCACTAAGCTCTGTAGACCTGGCAGGGCTTGGGCTGTGAGCAACAAATCCCCCACCAATGACCTACACCTCCATCACACAGCACCATAAAGTCCATCACTTGAGCGTGGCCTTCAGGGTCTCTCCCTGGGCTGGTCTGGAAGCTCATGCATCTACAGGAGGGACAACTACCAGAGGCGGGCAGCCCCTGGGGCTGTGCTGAGCTCACACTAGGTGTGGGCAGGGAAGTCCCAAGTGCCAGCAGGGCACCAGGAAGGTTGCTGTGGGGTGCAAGGGGACCAAAGGAGACAGGGGGAGTGGTGGCAGCGGGCCACCCGGGCGGCACGCACG